ACTAAAATTTAGTCTAGTCTCTATTGTTACCTGCTGGCACACAGCAGGACCAGGGAAGAGATGAGAAAAGGCCACTAAAATAGCTGTTTCTTCTTTCAGAAAATCTGTGACTACTCTTGTTAATCATTATTTCCAGATTATTTGCATTGAGAATGACCAGGAAAGTTAACTTAGCACCAAATAAATAAATAAATAAAGCTTATTAGCTGCCTTGTAGTAATTAGCTAAGATTTCTGAGATTAATATATTTTTGAAGGCAACTTTGGTTTTGCCTTCTTTCAACTTATGATACAAAGACTAACTATCCCCCAAAGAATTCAAAATAACCAAAAAGAGTTAACAAGATAAATCTTCTCTACTCACCAGATAAATCTGCTCTACTCACCATCAATAAATAATTACTGAACATTGTTTATTAAAAAGGCACAGTGCTAAGCTAGACACCTAGAATTCAACAGGTTTAAATCACAGTCACTGCCCTCCAAATCTCAGACTAACATAGACATAAAGAGATGGAAGTTACACTGAAAATATTTAAAAATATAAATTAGACACCCATGTTTATAGCAGCATTATTTACAATAGCCAAAGGTAGAACTCAACCTAGTGTCCATCAACAAATGAACAGGTAAACAAAATGTGGTCTATACAGGCAATGGAATATTATTCAGGCTTTAAAAGGAAGGAAATTCTGATACATGCTACTACATGGGTGAAACTTGAGAACATTATTCTAAGTAAAATAAGCCAGTTACAAAGTGACCAATAGTGTATGATTCTACTTTATGAAGTATCTAAAATCATCAAATTCATAGACAGAAAGCAGGATTATAGTTGCCAGGGGCTGAGGGGAGGGGGCAATGGGGAGTTGTTTGGGGTAGAGTTTCAGTTTTAGAATATACAATACTGAACTGTACACTTAAAAATAGTTAAGATGGTAAATTTTAGGTTATATGTCTTTGACCACAAATTTTAAAAATATAAATTAGCATAAGCTAAGGGACCAAACAACTGGTGCAGAAATAAAAGAACTGTCAACTCAGAAGAAGCAGCAGTTAATGAGATGCAGAACAAATTCATCGATAGCTCCATACCTTTTCTTGAAAGCAAAATAAGGCTCAAGTAAATGGATGTAAGATTAGGTGAGTAATACAATGGTAAGTAAGGAGCAATGACAAAAGAATAGGAACAGACAACGGGAGCACTATGTGGATCATAGTTTGTCTTACGAGCTTCAAGCACAATAGCATGGAAGGCAATGTGGAGGGTTAGGCTATGAAAGAGAGAAAAATGCTTAAAGAAATGCAATTCTCCTTGGACAGCTTTCACTAAAAGTAATAATTTCTACATGTTTATCAACAGTAAAGAAAATAGGAAAAGAGCTTGATAATTTCATATTCATTCATCTCTTATTTATATTTTGTAATTCCTATGATAAGGGTGTAAAGACATATTTTACAGGTTAGATATCATAACTTAAAGAGATAGGCCCACTTTGTATAAAGCATCAGCATGAACATTTCATTTATTCTTACTGACAATTCACTAATTTCATCATCAGCACTGGTTAAGCTACTAGCATTTTAAGAGTTCACTATGTAAATAATGCTAATATATATTAAGATGCATGTCTTGAGGTATCTCAACCCACTGACAGAACTGCAGGCTATACAGACACTTTAAGCAACACATTAATTATCCCAATTGCTATTATGAAATCCTCCTCCACCTACTTGCCTGTACTGAGCGGTAGTATCACTAGGCTCACCAAACCCACTACATTCTTAACAAAATCCTTTACCCTAACCCCAAGAATGATTTCTATTTTCCCCCAAAAACTTTAAAAATATAAACTAAATGTGCCTTAGTTATCTTCTTAGATTTTAAGCTGTGGTAAACCTTGGTTAATCATCAGCTGTTTTTAAACTATTTTCCATATAGATTATAGACAGTTAAGATACAGGTAGGGAAAAAAAAGGAAAAAAATTAGTCTTTTCTTAAACTGAAAAGAACCAGCCTTAGATCTCTTAAGGGTTCCTATCTTCTCAGGTTTTTATTGTGGAAATGATTACATTGTTAGGCCAAGCAAGCTGTTCAAATCATCCTCACCTCAATACCTTTCTGCTACCTGAATCAGAGGTGGACTTCTCCAGTCAGAAGAAGACAAATTAACAAAGGAAAAAGACAGCTTTGGCTGAGTAAAAGCATACCATGTCTTTAACTTCAGCCCTTAGCCATGTTTGTTATTCCCCATTTCTGCAAGTCACTGAAAAAAAAAAAACAAAAAGAGCTAATTCTTCATATATAATTTTTCAAAAGGGAGTGATGGAAAAAAGTATGTGAGTGTGAGTGTGTGTATGTGTGTGTGTGCAAGATGGTTTGTCCTTTAATTCCAGTTTTGCTAAGGTCTGAGAACTTGACCCACTAATATACAGACATATGCAGATGTGACATATAATGTTTACTACTAGAGAACAGGAATTAGGTAATTTGCTCATAATATACAATTCTTTAATACTTTGCCACAATTTTATTACAAGAAAACAGACTACAACAAGTAAAGAAGTACAATTTGCCTTAAACTTCCAATCTACTGAAATCATTTCCTTAAAAGCCACTTACAACCATCTATGGTATTTTTCTCAGTCTCCAACCTCATTAACCTGTCTAAAGCCTTTGACACCAGAGCCTATCATGGCTTCTTTGAAATTTTCTACTTCTAATTTCTGTGTTGGAGCACTAGTTCACAATCCCCTTACTCCTCAGACCTCTTTTAGCTCCTCCTATTCCCTACCTTTGAACAACCAAATTAACCTACTCAACATTATTCTATCTATGTACTGTTTCTCCCAGCAATCTCCTACAACTTTAACTGCCATTATCAACGGGAAAACTCCTAAACCAAGAACTCTAGCCCTAACCTTTCTTTTTGAGTTTTAGGTGCCTTAAATATATTATACATGTCTAATATTAATTCACTAAAGCCCCATGTGTTCCAAACCAAGTCTCAAATTTTCTATTTCATGGTAACACCATTCTTTCAGAACCAAGCGTGGAAACCTAAAAAAATCAATTTTACCTCCTCCTTCACTGTCACCTCCAGTCAGATAGTCCTGCTAACTCTTTTCAAAAAACTTGAGTTACTGAAAAAGAACTGAAATAGAATCTAAAAGAAAAGACTTCATCCCTAAACAGTTATGTGTATCAAATGATAAAACTTTCTCAAACCATCATTTTGTCATCTACACAATGGAAAAAGTATAACTGCTCTGCCTACTTTACAGTAAACAAATACGTGGCAGCATACTAAAAATCCTGAGCCATTATATAAATATCATCTACTATCCCAGCTCTCTATCCATTTCCAATGCCATCCTAATCTGTTCATTCAGTTACTAATTCATTTATTCATTTTATTATTTATTCATCCTACAAATATTTATTGAGAGCCAACTATAAGCCAGATACTATGCCCAACCATTAAGATACAACAACAGGACAAACAGACATAGTGCCTAACCCACAAAACTTGCCGTCTAACATGAAAGTCAGATAATAGGTGCATGTAGACATGGGAAGGTTTGCTGGGAAGGTGCCCCAGAAAAAAAAAATTAAAGCAAGAAATAATACATTTACAAAAATAGGAGTTAGTATCATAAGGGAGTAGAAATGAACAGCAATGGGAAGCAATAAAAACAATTCCCAGCAAAGAAAATAACACATAGAAAGCCCTCAAACAAGAATTAGCATCCTAACAATGCCATCACCTTTTTCTCACTTGCGCTTTTGTTCCATTTATCTTTTTCCCTTCAAAATCTTTCCTCATTCTCCCATATCTGACTATCGAAATTGTATGCATCCTTCAGACACCAGATCAACTATATATAGATATATTTCCAGCTGCCAGGTTAGTACTTGATTCATATCAGACACGAAAATAAGAATTTGCTAAATAAATGGCTAAAATCATCATTCTTCCTAAATGACAAATCTATTTCATATTGCAAATATGCATGTGCCTACTGTACCCTTGAAGTAAAGGACCAGACTATGCTCCATACATCTCTATATCCCCACAGTGCCCAATGCATAAGTATTTGTTTCATGTTTTACAACAAATAACTAACATTTTAGAACTAGGTAAAGCTGTTAAAAAAAATACTTTCATCTTCTACTCCTGACTTTACAATGTTCTAACAGAAAACTGAACACTCAAAATATTCTTTAGACACAAATTAATGTTAAACATGAGGTCTTCCAAGAAACATATGTCAATAATAGATTTATTTTTGTATTTAATTTTTAGAAGACAATTTTTTTTTTTTTGAGACAGAGTCTCACTCTGTCACCCAGGCTGGAGTACAGTGGCACAATCTCAGCTCACTGCAACCTCCATCTCCCAGGTTCGAGAGATTCTCTTGCCTCAGCCTCCTGAGTAGCTGGGATTACAGGTGCATGCCACCACGCCCGGCTAATTTTTGTATTTGTAGTAGAGGTAGAGTTTCACTATGTTGGTCAGGCTGGTTTCAAAATCCTGACCTCGTGATTCACCCACCTCAGCCTCCCAAAGTGCTGGAATTACAGGCATGAGCCACCATGCCTGGCTAGAAGACAATTTTAAGTTTCAGTACTTTTGAATGATTTTATTGCAAAAATACTTTTAAATTTAAATATAGTGAAGATGATAAATTATTTTTAGAATATAAAAAGGAGTCTTTAATGAACTAGACAACCTAAAACAGTTATGGAGCACTTCACCTTCCATTCTATTTTAATTTCATTTAATGTTCCTGATATCATCTTTAGAATCAGACCTCAAGTCACTAGCACAGAATTTGTTATATAATTCATAATTTGTTATTTTAAAAACCTAAAGAGTAAATCTGGATCATTCCACTTTTCATATCAGAGAAGGACAAGTAAAGTAAGAAACAGGGTTTCAAAGAATAGGCAAAACTGTTACATGGAGGAAAAAAACCCTACTTCCTAGATACCAATACCTGTAGGAAAGGCAGCCCAAGGAATAGCAGGAGATGTTGTTTGGGTTTCACCATTTCCACCATCAAAAGTCTCCGCAGCCTACAAAACAAAGGCAAGATTATTGTAGAAGAGACGAAAAATAGGAATGCTATTTAAGTGATCAAGCATTCCAGTTCTGCAGGCTTATCTTCTGTAATACACCAGACACTTTCATATTCCCTCTCAATACCCAAGTGCTTTTCAGTCTTCACTGCTACCACTTCTGCCATGACTCACCATCCCCAGTACCCATGCCTTATTATCTTCAAGTAAAAATGTTCTTTCCTTATTCAAATTACTGTTCATCAATGAAGTTTTTCTTTCATACATCCTTAATGACATTTTCACTTGTAAACTTTATATCTAAGTATTTTAACTTACATTTACTCATCTATGCAGGAAAAATATTTGTCTTTAAAAATATAGACACCAAATCCTTTTAACTAATTAGCACAAGGCCCAAGTAGAGATTAATGCAAAGAAATAGGATTCATCTGCCTTGAATAATATACTAGTCAGACTTAATAGTATTCAATATTTAGAGAATTCCTAGAATTCAAGTTTTCAATTAACAAGCCATCCTATTTATTTTGGAACAATTACTGAATACTGAGTTTGTAGGTAAGAGCACAGAGTTTTCTGTTAGATGCCCAGGTCACAGTAAATTTTCTACTAAAAATTAGAGCTACAATTTCAATTTGTACCCTGCAAATTAAGGAAAAGTTAAAAGAGGCAATCTGAGACAGGACATAAGTGACACAGAATATAGTAACTATTCTCTACAGCTAAGAAAAATGAACATATTTCATATAACTAACAATAGAGACTCTCTATTTATACAGCAGGATGTGGAAAGAAAAAAAAACCTAACTACAATTAAATTATAATGTTGGTTAACCTGCACCTATGCAGTACCGAAAGGAATCAATTTGATGAATATAACAAAGTATAATACTGTTACCCTACAGAACACTATCCACTGTATTTTTTTCCTAAATGAAACATGAAGTGTGGTTTAAATAAAGAAGACTATGCCAGATTGTAACCTTCAAATAACTAACAACTTCCAAACAATAAACTAAGTCAGATGATATCTAAAATATACATTTTCTTCAAAATGGAAGGCATTTTAACAAAAATAAATGTTACATTTCGGTAAGATAAATAAGATTCAATCACTCAATAAAACCCAAAATATTAAGCAAAATGCAGAAAGCATACAAGCATGCTTAAACAAAAACCAGTTTTAGATGAAACAGAGAAAACAGGTATGTCTAGACACCATATTGGCTGATTTTAAAGATCAATAAAAGAGAAAAAGATCCTAACCCAACAAAAACCTCACACCATTCTTTCATGAAATTCAGAACACTGAATATATACTTAACATCTTATTTATCCTATTAAGGTCATTATTTACAATCCCGAGTTTTTATAATTCCCTTTTACCAAATCCAAAGTAGGTAAAATTCTTTTAAAAAAAAAAAAAAAAAAAAAAAAACTACAGCGTTCACTTGATGGTAGTTCCAGGACTTGAGCTCAGGCATTCTGACTCCTAATCCAGAGATTTTCCTGCAAGACTATACTGGCTCCATAAAAATAGCTGGGTTATAAAATATTTCAATAAAATGAACACACATTGAAAAGGATTAGGGAAAAGACAGTGCTTCTTCAGCTAACAATTTCCACTTACAAAGTATCCTATCCTAACATACTAGAATAATCTAATAATACAACATACTAATTAACTTTATAGCCACGAAAAGGCAATGCACTTAATATATTAAATCAAGTCATTACAGGTGTAAACATGCAAATATGTGACAGGATCTTCAGTACTCATCTGTCATCTCACAAGTATTTCCTAATATACATGTATCCCAGTAAAATCATCTGCTGACAATTTTTAAAATCTTTCCTTTAGTGCTTATTCTGGTAGCACTTAATTACTTCAACTTAAACCATTCCTATGGGCAAGTCCAAATGTTAAATAATAAATCAGTCTTAATTTTTAGAGGGTATATTTTTAATTTTCCTTGATTTCATCTTTTTACTCCAGAATTACATAAAAATGATCAAGGAAAGATCATGATGCCAATGAAATATAATACATTCTCAAAATAGTTTACTCCATTGTAATCCCACAAAGTTAAAACAAACTAATGTAAATAACAGTGCATACCTCAAAACCACCAAAATCATCATCATCCATTCTTTAAGTGGCACCTGAAAAATATAAAGAGATATTGAAACAAGCCCACACAGTCATTTATGTCAAAATACTTCTCCAACTTAAATGTATACATATTTGTAAAATAAAATTATTTGTCTATGTGTTAATGCAAAAATAAGAATTTGTAATTGGCTTTTACTTTTTGGCAAAATTAGCAATTTCTGTAACTTTTTCAGCAACTATGTATTCTGCCATTTTATGTTGGGACACCAGGAGTGGAAAAATATTCTTTTACATTTTAATTTGCTTTTCCCAAATTGGCGCTAGGGCTCAATTCAATAATGCTTCCTGCTTTTTGCATCTATTCCTCAGTTGTCTGGCAACATCAGCACAAACTTCAGCTAAGAACAGGACTGTGGTGAGTTTTTGGAAATCTGTCCCCCACCACAAAGGTTCTTCCCTCGGTTTCAGGGCCAAGGCTGATTTAGATTTTCAAAATTGATCAGCATTTTTGAGCTGTGGCCACAACTTTTGGATCATTTTGATATGTGTATTTTTAGCTGAAACTGCTTTGCACTTTTTGAAGAATGTGGAGCAAGTTACTAGGCTGATCAAGATAAATCAAGTCATGTATTCAGGGGATATGAGGGATAAGAAAAACACAAATGAATATCTAGAATTCCTCTTTTAAGTATGTAAGAAAGACAAGCACTAGAATAATATTTGTTTTTGTCCTAAATTTATGTCATAAAAATGAAAAGATAAAACCATTAATATCAGGGCTTAAAAAAAAAACAAAGGAGCAGCAGCTTTATCAAACAAACCATGAAAAAACTGAAAAACCTGAAAAGGTGAAACTAGTAACCGGAAGTATACATTAAAATAAAAAGTAAGTTCTCATATAGATTGTTTCTTAATCTACAATTTGGCACCTATAGTTGCGAATCCATAGCTACAAGCAATACTCTAGTCAACAATAATTGATTTTTTAAAGTATATTTCATTGCACTTTAGGTTCTGGGGTACATGTGCAGAACATGCAGGATTATTCCATAGGTACATACGAGACAATGTGGTTTGCTGCCTCCATCCCCGTCACCTATATCTGGCATTTCTCCCCATGTTATCCCTCCCCAACTCCCTATTCCCCTGCTGTCCCTTCCCTATTCCCCCCAAACAGACCCCAGTGTGTGATGCTTCCCTCCCTGTATCCATGTGTTCTCATTGTCCAACACCCACCTATAAGTGAGAATATGCGGTGTTTGATTTTCTGTTCTTGTGTCAGTTTGCTGAGAATGACGGTTTCCAGATTCATCCATGTCCATACAAAGGACACAAACTCATCGTTTTTTATGGCTGCATATTATTCCATGTGCCACATTTTCCCTGTCCAGTCTATCATCAATGGGCATTTAGGTTGGTTCCAGCTCTTTGCTATTGCAAACAGTGCCGCAATGAACATATGTGTGCATGTGTCTTTATAATACAACAATTTATAATCCTTTGGATATATACCCAGTAATGGGATTGCTGGGTCAAATGGAATTTCTATTTCTAGGTCCCTGAGGAATTGCCACACTGTCTTCCACGATGGTTGAACTAATTTACACTCCCACCAACAGTGTAAAAGTGTTCCTATTTCTCCACATCCTCTCCAGCATCTGTTTTCTCCAGATTTTTTAATGATTGTCATTCTAACTGACATGAGATGGTATCTCAATGTGGTTTTGATTTGCATTTCTCTAATGATCAGTGATGATGAGCATTTTTTCATGTTTGTTGGCCTTATAGATGTCTTCTATTGGAGAGTGTCTGTTCATATCCTTCACCCACTTCTGAATGAGTTTGTTTTTTTCTTGTAAATCTGTTTTAGTTCTTTGTAGATTCTGGATATTAGTGCTTTGTCAGATGGATAGCTTGCAAAAATTATTTTCCCATTCTCTTGGTTGCCAGTTCACTCTAATGATTGTTTCTTTTGCTGTACAGAAGCTCTGGAGTTTAATTAGATCCCATTTGTCTATTTTGGCTTTTGTTGCCAATGCTTTTGGTGTTTTAGTCATGAAGCCCTTGCCCATGCCTATGTCCTGAATGGTTTTACCTAGGTTTTCTTCTAGGGTTTTTATGGTGTTAGGTCTTATGCTTAAGTTTTTAATCCATCTTGAGTTTCTTTTTCTATCATTCAAAAGTGAACATAGAAAAAAATAATCTGTACAACAAACCCCCGTGACAGTTTATCTATATAACAAACCTGCACATGTACCCCTTAACCCAAATGTTATTTTGAAAAACAATGTTTTAAATTAAAAAGAAAAATTTTAAATGAATATACCCAAATATTATAGTTTCCTTGACTCAGTAATACAAGATGGACTTGATTACAGGAAAACAATCCTTTCCCACTACCAAAATAAAACCAGCTACACACATTAAACTATATGTTAAACAATAATCTTAAGGGCATTTTCTAGAATCATTTGCTTTAAGTAGTCATCCATAGCCATGCTTTACCTTCTCAATGAAACTAGAACTAACACCTTCAAAAAGAAAATTTTTAAAACTGTCAAAGAAAAGTAAACAGTAAAAGCATTAATGTCAAGGATTGTTTCGATAGGCAAAGCAAATTTATTTTCACAGAAACTCAGTAGGTAATGACACTAAAAGGAATGTATGTAGACAGAAACATATTATAAAAAGGACAGGTATTAACCAGAATATAAGCATGGTATCATTACCATTACTCACAATTTTAGCAATCTGATGAAAATTTAAAAACTGTATTTCTCCAAAAATTAAAGCTAAGCAGGTCACCCATCTATAGCACTTAAAATATATAAACCACACTTTCAGAAACGTTTCATGATACTTAGTTGGAAATGGAACTCACATTATTTTGTGTTGCAAGTGAACAGAAATCTGTATGTGGCTACATTTTTTATGAAGAAATTATGAAAGTGACATGGACACTAAGAATTAACCGAGCCAAACTATAAACACCAAGTTTATCTTTTCCACATATATCCCATGAATCTCAAAAAAACAAAAATTTTTTAGCATCTACATATGCTGTACTCAAATAATATGGTTTCAAAAGACTGGAATTTTTAGAGTAATGCTTCTATGTGTTTTCTTAAGTCACTTCCTAATAAATTATTTGTAAGGTGCCAGAAAATTTGAAAATAAAAACAAATATCCACGTGTAACTATCATTTCAGCTTGTTTGACTGTGGTAATGAACCAAATACCATCAGTTTCCTTAGTTCTGATCTCTGCAAAAGAACACAGTAGTGACCACAGATGTTTTCCAGACTCCAGCAACTTTTACATATTCAGTGGCTCATGCCTGTAAACCGAACACTTTGGGAGGCCAAGGCAGGTAGATCACCTAAGGTCAGGAGTTCAAAACCAGCCTGGCCAACATGGTGAAACCCCATCTCTATTAAAATTACAGAAACTTAGCCAGACACGGGGGCACGCACCTGTAATCCCAGCTACTAGGGGCTGAGGGAGGAGAAGAGCCTGAACCTAGAAGGCAAAGGTTGCAGTGAGCCAAGATCGCATCACTGCACTCCAGCCTGGGTAACAAGAGTCAAACTCCGTCTTTAAAAAAAAAAAAAAGCAGATGATAGTCTTCCTTTTATTTTCAAAAAAAATTAATACATTTAGAAAACATGTCCAATTTCTTAACATATACTAGAGAAATAAATATTTTTAAAGCAATAATCTTTCATCCAAATAATTTACACTTCAATTCCTGCAAGTTTACTCTTGAGCATTTTAAATAGGAGAAAAGAAAATTAACAGCATTGACCTGTTAAAAAAAAATTTTTATAAAATATGAAAATTGTTTTTAAAAGGAAATTATAAATATGAGCTTATTTATATATTTAGCTACTCCAATACATTTAAAAGATTTATTTTATCTAAAGTGCATTCTTTTCAAGTATTTTAGAATATTTCTGGCATTTACCATTAGAGTCCGTTAAACTACAGGTATTACAAGAGTGTAGCAACAGCAAACATATCTGATATCTAAGTTACAGAATCATAAGCCTGGCCAAAACATTAACAGATCAGGTAATTCATTTTTTTGTGTCATAGCAGAAAGATATATATACTTCATTATTATTAGGAATCTACACTGAAAGTTTTCACCATATCAAGGTCTAACAATTCTCAGACTTCTTTATATCTAAATTTAATCTCTTTTGTTGCCTTATTGTATTGATTCCCTACTTTGCTATTCTTAATATTTAATACATTGCTGATATTCAAAAAATGTTTTACAAGACAGACACAGAAGAGGATAAAACATACAGAATACACTATGTAACAAACTTTTTTTCAGCAATTCTGTATCAGTCAAGGTCCTCAAAGAAGTTATAGTTTGGTGTAGGGAGGAGGGCAGGATGTAAGATAAGCGTGCAAATACAAGTAACATGAGATGTAAAAGAGTCTTAAGAGAGAAGAAAAAATGTCCAAGGTAGGAAGAAAGATTTTCAGAAAATGATGTATCTGGTTGAAGCATCATTAAATGCTTAAGGTAGAAGGAGACATTTGAGAAAGATTTCAACAGATCTGACAGAAAATGTCAAATGGCATATTAAAATACACATTTTATTCATCTTTACTAAAAAGTCTCCCCCTAAGATAACAAAGATTTCTTCTGATTGTTGGCTTCTGCATAAAAATGAGGTCAAAGAGAATGGAAATGAGAAAACTGCAAAAAATTTCAAAGCAAATACAGGAAAATGAGTCACTGGGAAAATGAGATTCACAATTATTAATACATCAGAGAATCCTCAAAAGACTCAGCAACGGGCAGTACTGAAAGTTAGGTAAAAGTGAAACTCAAAGTAATAGTTATAGGTATATACCAAGACCCCTCCCAGAATCTACACAACTGGGCAATCTACAATTTATCACCACAGCAGAAGACTGGAGGTTCATTCCCTGGACAGAATAAAGCTGAGGATCTCTAGGCATGAAGATAACACAGGTGGACCAGGTGAAGTTATATTCTGGGGAGAAGAGAGGATGGTTAACTATGTAGAAC